CGGCGAGGGGCGGGGCAGGACCGGCGTCCACGCGCTCCCCGCGTGCGTCCCCGTCTTGTGCTGGCTCACTGGCTGCACGCGGCGGAGTGGGGGCGCGGCCGCGCCGTGGTGGGGGCTGGAGCGCGGCGTGCAGCGCCGGCAGCAGCGCCCGGGCCGACGCCAAGAGCCCCCAGAGCGCCGAGTTCCGTGCTGCAGAACGCCACGCTTATATCCCTATCGCCCCCGGCCACACAGTCATCGCCAGGCTCGCCCAGGGCAGAGACTTCGCGGTCCATAGTCGGCGAGGCCAGGGCAGTCGTCCCATGGGAAGCCCAGTACCGACACGCAGCCCGCACCGGCCGGACACGCCCAGCTACAGCGACCCCTGCACGGGAGTGCCTCCCCTCGAGAGGACCGTCAATAGGTAGCCGTCGCACCCAGCCCAGAGGCCTGCCAGAGCCCTCGCCAGAGATTATACTCCACTCCACTTCCCCGCGCCGCGCCCCGCGTCTCCGCCAGCCACTCGCCGGTCTGCCTCCTCGGCGGCGTCCTCGCGTGGTGCGCCCTAACTTCCTACTGCCGCTTGGGTGCAGCAGCAGCGCACCGCGGCCCAGCCATGAAGAGGTGAGTGTAACGACCGTCCTCGGGGGCCCGTCCCGTCACAGTCTCCGGCACATCGTATAGTCAACCCATCCGACCCCTCGCTCATCACCGCGACACACCAGAAAATCGAGTAGTGCAAGACTGGGCCGAAGTTGCGGGATGCTGTGGGGGAGGGAGGATGAGGAAGTGAGGCCCAAGGGGTGGGGAGCGAGTATTGCCCCCGAGCCCCGGGTGGGCGCCGGCCCGGGCGGGTGGAACATTTTGCGGGGGTTGGTGCGCGATCCCTACACCACCCCCCACTTCCCCTTCATCCTTTGCACCCTCTAGCCGGGCCGCTCTGCCGAGGTGATGCAACACGAGGGGTGGTTTGGTTGCAACCCTTTATCCTGGAAATCCTCCGTCCATCGACCCATCCGAACATTTGTTTGGCGGAACTTGAAGCCCTGCTCTGCCAAGTATGTCCTGCTGATGTTCATCAGTCATTAAACTGATTACTTCAGTAATCAGTAATCAGTTTAAACTGATTACTTCAGTAATCAGTAATCAGTTTAAACTTATTTCTTCAGTTATCAGTTTAATGACCTACAAGAATAATTGGCGTCGAAACATTGCCATTTCGTCGCGAGTGGCAGTTGTCACGCCGTCGGGAGGGTCAGTCAGACAGGCCCTCAGTGGTGAGCGTCGGACGCCTTTCCCTTGATTGCCTGGCCT